TATGAGAGATGCTGATTTCTAGTACAGGTTATTTTGTATTCAGTTATAACGAATCCAAATGGAGTGCGAACTCGTTTCACCATTTTCACATTCCTAGCCAATGAAGACTGAAAGTGAGTTCGATCGTCACCGGGTGCTCCATATTTGCGTCCTTATGCCACATGTAAGCAGTGCATAAAAATACACTATACTTTTCTGTCTTAGTCCAACCCGGTTTGTTAAATAAAAGCGTCAAGGAGATCATTCTTTTGGTATTAACTCTCCTTTGTGAAGGGGTTGGGGTCATTACAATGCACGTGAGGTGTTCACAAAAGGGAAAACGCCAAGATAAGTTGGACCAATTTTTGGATGGCTGCCGAAATCCCACTTTAAAATTAGACCTTGTGCCACTTTCTATGTGAGTCATTCTATATTGTTGGTCTCTCATTTGTATACATTAATATAATCTATCACGCACGTCGCCAGAGTGTTTTGAGTAGGAGGGCGGACTTTAAGTCGTGTGACACGGAAACAAGTAAAAATTCACTCATTCACATTATTTTCACTATTGATGTCAAACGATTTTCTGGGGAATGACAGACACACAACCACCTCCCTTTGCGACAGGCCTATCATATTATAACTCTGGTGGTTTCTTATTTCCTTAATTAGTTAGCACGTAGGTTACGCCCTGCCAATACCTAATAAATAATGGACTATTCCATTTTCATTGCGAGTAAAGACAGACAAGACATGTCAGAGATGCTATTTGGCTTCAGTGAAAAAAAGAATTAGGATGTGATAATTCTATCGTCTATTTCACATCTGCTTCAGTGAAATGGATAAACCTGTTAATTTTAAATATTTTCGTTTGTAACCTCTTACTTCTTTAAATAATGTCCTAGCTTATTCCTACTTATTTTTGTTATTGCAATATTTTGTTTCAGTTTCTAAACTTAAATATTTAACGATACAATAGAGGAATTTCCGCGTGTATTTTATGTTCGCAGAAATCGCAAGGATCTTATTCAATCTTTAACTTAAGAATTTTTTTTTTTTTTACAGTGCAGTTCACCCTGCACAAGGTCCGGGATCCACTCGAGGTAGAGTGTTACAGAGTAAGAGACACAGTTTATGCGGATAGGTGGGGAATATAACAGTTAAACCTAGATTTGAACAGGTTAAGATTGAAGCGATCGAGGAAACAACCTCTTTGGAGTCGGTTCCATAGAGCAGTGGTTCGTTGGAAGAAGCGGTTGGTGTGGAACTAGTGAAATACAGAAGGAATGAGGATGGTTCACTAAAATGTGCGTACCGTGGTGTGTTGTGAAGGTTAAAATTGGCTACACTAAGGATTGTAGTACAACTGTGCAATTTCCATGGAAGTAACGATGTAGCAGTGAGAAGCTTGCTGAACCTCGTCTGTGAAGGAGGGATTGCAGGATGGAAAATAATTCATCACCCACAAGGACGCGGGGAAGTTTTGGACTCTATGGAGACTGGAAAGCGAGGACTGAGCATTTCCTAACTAAACGTGACAGTATTATTCATCAGAAAATTAAAATAGGAAAACCGTTAAATTTTCATGGCTTTTCCTCATCTGCAATCCTGACCATTATTAATTTAATCTTTGCTTTCTTGTTTTTCTTGTTACCATCGTCGTCGTGTTCATTGTAGTCTTTAAGCGGGAAATCTTTTTTTTAATGGAATGTTCGTTCAGGATGCAGGAGATTTCAGGTGAAGAATAGTGACGTAGTTTACCATTCGTTTCTACACTGATTGGAATTCAGAGTTGTCTTTCTCATAGACTGGTTTCTACTCAAAGTTTCTTTTTCTTTATGTGCTGTGTCCCCACAGGATGTAGATGATCATGGCTCTCTACAATTTCTTATCCTTTGTAGTTCTTAATAAATGTTGTCTTTCTGTTATTCTCCCAAACGCTGTCCCGCCATCCATTTACCCAAGCTCACCAAGTATGTTATGTGTTGTTTTCCTCTATCCCTATTGCTTTCGATATGTCCTGTGAGTATCTTCTTTCTTCAGTATGTACCCTAGATATTTCAGTTATCTTTTTCTGATGACATAAGTATAGACACCTTTTTTGTTTCCATTTTCTCTAAAACTTCGTCGTTGTTAACATGTTCGTACCATGTTATCCTCAGCATCCTTCTGTAGTACTACATTTATGTTGCATCAAGTCTCTTCTTCATCTTCATACCTTTCCCAACAGCGAAATTCCTAACAACAGACTTTGACCTCGGCTCATCGATTCCATGCCGATAACCGCTATCCTAAGAACCAGGGAAAGGTTTTTTATCCTGAATTAATGGCAATATTATTTTGTTATTACTCAATCTTTGTCATTATATATAGTTTCCTCGCGCGCGAAAGACGATTTCTGTATATTAAATTTATGTTTGCTAGATTTTCTGATTCAATGTAAATATTATTAAGAAATTATTATGTAGAAATTAAAAATAAATCCCAAAATATCAGTAAACCTGACCCTCTATGAATGTTAGGTGATCATCTTGTGGAGGTGGGGTAGTTCTAAAAATATCAAAAGGCACATCATTCGTGAAAATGTCAGTTTATGAAAGGTCATTAAAATGGAAGTAATTTTTTTTTATTTCTTAATGGATACCAACTTGTGCGATTTTAAATTAACAAAAAATATGTTTTATTTTAAACGAATTTTACATTACACTATACACTCGTCTATAAGCATAGTATATGTATAGGGATAGCCCTTAATTCTTTTGCATGAATTTAAATGTATGATTTTCAATCTCTTTAAAAAATTTCCTGTGTATAGTGAGACCAAATAGTTTTTGCGTAAAAAAAAAAAATGATCAAAAAACTTTCACTAAACACGAGTAGATGCGACAAGGTTTTGTTCATTTTGCTGTCGGAAATTTCAAGCAATCTATTGCAACGAAATAATTTAACATCGAATGGTGCAATCGTTAAAAAAGACTGAGTAACCTTTTATCGTTTGGAAAAAAAAGGGCTTAATGGCTAAGACAGTTGTGTATTTCAAGTTGATTAGTGTTCAATAACGTGATAAAAACCGGAATTTCAAATGCTAATTTTCATGTCAGACATGTCATCCTTAAATACAAGGTTGAAAGAAGATGAACATCATTTTTCAACTTGCTTTTGTGCCATAAACTTTTAATAGTTTGCAAACAGCATATGATTTGTTTCTATGTTATTAAAATGCAGAAGTTTTACATTATACCTTGCTATGGTGCTGCAAAAAAAAGAGGTCGCGAAATCAGAAATTAATGTGGAGTGTTCAATGATATTTTAAATTTTAATGTTGGACAATTTCTTCACAGATGAAGAAGTGACTTGAAGTAACAGAAATGTGGTTCTACAGAAGGATGCTGCGACTACCATGAACGGAACATGTGAATAACGACAATGTTTTAAAGAAAATGGAAATAAAAAGGATACTTATACTTAACATCAGAAAGAAAGAGTCAAAATTTATAGGACACGTAATGAGAAAAGAGGGCTTGGAAAATTTGATACTCACAGGATAGACTGAAGATAAGATGGGGGATAAAGGAAAACAAAGCATAACCTGCCTAGAGAGCTTGAGAAAATGGATGTCGGAACAAAGTTTAGAAGAGAGAACAAAATGACAAAATTTATTAAGAACAAGAAAGGACAGGAAGTGAAGAACCATTGTTTTTTTTTTTCTGATTCTCTCATAAATGAATTGTTTTCTTAGTTCAAATTTACTACTGCAAGGCTTTTTTGTTTTTATTCGAAATTCATTTTTTTAAATATTTGTTTGTAATTATTTTCTGAAATAAAACCTAATTATTATCTAAGACATGAAATAATTTTAGAATCAGATGTTTCGAAAAAAGAAAAAATGGATAATAAAATGTTATAATTTATTTGAAAATTAATAGCAATATTGATTTCGGAAAATTATATAGCTCAACTTGGTCACATTATCATAGACTGAGACAAAGAAAACAAAAGTAAACCTTTATTTAGATTTTAGTTCCAGTAAAAAGTGAGGGGTTGAATCCCCTTCCAGCCCCCTCTATAATACCGTGAATGTAGACTGAAATGTAGTCTGGAGAGAGATATGGTGGCCAGGAAGACTATAATTTTACTTTTAAGAGAACTTTCGTTGCCGCTGCTGTAAAATAGGAAATTACCTATAATTTGATTAATAATAATAAAAATAAAAACCTTTTGTTTTTTTTTATATTTTTTACTTCCTTTTACTTTGATCGAATACTCCTACCCGGTAACTGTTACTATTATCTTTCTTATTCTAATTTCGTCTCTCTCTGTTTGGCTGTCTCTTTCTCTTATTTACATATACACACACAGTATACACATAACACATATATACACACATCCTTAGCACGAGAGAAACTGAATATGCAACCCTGTCTCAAGAGACAGAGCCACTAACATCAGCCAAGCGGGCTCTTTCTCCCTTTCTCTCTCTTTTCGCATACTCGGCATGGAGGCAAAGTGAGAATACTGGCCGGTCACTGGTGGCAGGGAAACACATGCAGGCGGGGTCCGATTCCGATCCAAGCCCCAAACCGCACCCTGCAAAGCTCTCTACCACTGGCACCATTTTTCTTCCATCTTATAATTCCAACACCGACGCCTTACGTCACCACCATCACCACCACCACCACCACCAGCAACCCCTTTCACTACCATCGCCGGCAACGACAACAATAAGATAGCGCAAACAACTACCACCAGCGCTTGTACAAGAGCCGCCGCTACCACGACGACAGTTTTAGCTATCACTACGACGACTGCTATTACTACCATCGGGTCTCACCAAAGAAGATCGCCAAATCTTAGGAGCGAGGCGGTAACAAACATTACGGGTCGTGGAGTTTTTAGAGGAGATGTTGCCGACGTGGGTAAGGTAAGATCATGCATCTTTTGCTTGTCTGTCGAGTTGTCTGTCAATAAATGGGTTTCGTCTGTCTGTTATCGCTCATTGTTTTGTCGTGTATTTATCACAGTCAAAAGGCTCGTTCCTCTCTCTCTCTCTCTCTCTCTCTCTCTCTCTCTCTCTCTCTCTCTTTATATCTATCTATTTATATTAGCAGGGTCGAGTATAGACCTACATTTATAATATATTCATAAATACAAAAACATATATAAATAGACAGGTAAAAAAATTAATTAATCTATCTATCTATCTATCTATCTATTTATCTATCTATCTATCTATCTATCTATCTATCTATCTATCTATCTATCTATCTCAAGCTTTTCTTTCTCTCTCTATCAACTAAATGCCAAAACATTGTCTTTTTAACTTGATGTTATTACATATAATGTTTTATATTCTTATTTATTTATATAAATATAAGCTTATATCTGAATGTTTGAATATAAAAGAAAGATATGGTATCTATCTATCTATCTATCTATCTATCTATCTATCTATATATATATATATATATATATATATATATATATATATATATATATATATATCACATACATATATATATATCAAAATATATCTTCATAATTATATACACTCGAATAACTTGTATTTATATATAAAGAAATTGTTTCGGGATACAATAGTAATAGATAATTATAGATACATCAAATATACTTTATCATATATATATATATATATATATATATATATATATATATATATATATATATATATATATATATATATATATATATATATATATATATATATATATATATATATATATATATATATATATATATGTAATTTTTATATGTATAAGTTTGATGTATAAAATATATAAATAATATATCATATCATATATATATATATATATAATTATTGTGTATGGGCATATTTAATTAAATGCAAATGTGGATATATTTATATTTGTATAATTCTAATTGCATGTACACACAAATATACATACGTTACGTGAATATACATACATACATACATACATACATACACACGTACACACATCCCCACGTATAGGATAGACTTAACCACATAAATTATACAAGCTGATTCTGTTTGACTTGTCAAATGCACATGAAGTCTGCTGAGCCAATGAAAAGTGAAACAAAGCAAAAAAAAAAAAATACAAAATATTTAGGTATCTCATTCTCTGACGAATCTATAATAACAATGTAGCATTAGCTTTATGTTTCCCTATTTGTTCTTTATCCTATCATTTTCGGTTTTCAGTCTATATTTGATTTTATATATATATATATATATATATATATATATATATATTTATATATATATATATATATATAAAATATATATATATATATATATATATATATATATATATATATACGATTATCTATTATTATTTTGTGTCGACATTCCTTTATATATAAGAAACTTATACATAATATAATTAGCAGAAAATTACACACACACACACACACACACACACATATATATATATATATATATATATATATATATATATATATATATATGCAATTATATAGTAATCCTTCTTTCATGCAAACATCATTAAATATGACAAAGGTGCTTTAACTTTTTTATATAACATTATAAAAAAACAATCAAAGCACCTTGTCTGTGATATTTAATGAATATATATATATATATATATATATATATATATATATATATATATATATATATATATATATATAATTTATACATATCTTCAGTATTCTGTCTATTCTAATTTTATAAATAATGAATTAAACATTTTCTTATATTTTCTAATAAACACCAATACAGATCCTTTAATTTTCGTAATTTTTCATTTATTGAAAAATATTTACTCAAGTTAGGTTCCCATACATTATTGTTCCATGCATTTAACTCTCTCTCCCTCCCGGCTCTCTCTCTCTCTCTCTCTCTTTGAGTGGAGATCTTTACAACTTTTAACAAAGTATCATATACACGAAAACTATCTTGTTTAAGAACTTTACGACATCTTTCATTATGAAAAGTAATTAACATTTCCAGATTTCAACTGATGAACCAATATTTATACATTTTGGAAACATCCACACATGACAATCCACTCATCTATACATATATATATATATATATATATATATATATATATATATATATAATTTCTCGGACATTCCGGTCGGTAAATGTTGAATACGGTTTATTATAAAACAGAGCTTTTACTTAAATATTTGTATCTTATAAAAAGAATGAATAAACATAAAAATGTCTTAATACATACATATATATATATATATATATATATATATATATATATATATATATATATATATATATATATATATGTATATTATTTGCGTAATTTACATTCGGATTATTAATAATACATTTGGTGATGCTATCACAACGCTTCGTGTGTTGTGGCCTCCGGACTACTTCAGGTGTTTGTGATCAAGGAAACATTTTGAAAAAAAAAAAAAAATTGGAAAGTTGAAACGTTTCTCATAAAGGCTTTTCCACCTTGTTTCATTATCTCTATTTTGTTGGGATACTATTCCACATCCAATAACATACACACAGACACACACACCCACACCCATACACATACACACAGACTCACAGACACACACAGACACACATGCACACACACCCACCCACACACACACACACACACACACACACACACACATATATATATATATATATATATATATATATATATATATATATATATAAAATAAATAAATCCTAATGAGCCAGGTACTACCTAGGTTTCACCACATGAGGTCATGTTGCTGAACTGCTTTCTTTCGCCCTCTTCCGAGGTTTCTGGTTCTTTCTTTTTTTTTCCAAATTTTTCCTCGTATGTCAATTTGTTTGAAAATTCTGGTATCCAGGTTTTTCACCCTCTGTGTTTCAGTAGATTTACATTATATATATATATATATATATATATATATATATATATATATATATATATATATATATTTACATTACGTATGACTAATACAAACACTAAATTTTTTGAAAATTTTATTAAATTCGAAATAAAATGTGTATTTGTATAATTTTTATTACAGTAAGCATATAAGTTTATTCTATTTCAATTTAATAAAAAAAACTTTCAAAGTTCATCATGTTTATACATCTTTATTTATTACAAGAAATGTTAACCAATTATATCTGGATCGTTTCATCTTCAGATATTGTCAATTGAGTGACGTCTAATTATGTTTTTTAAAATTGCCTTGAACATGACATCACTTTCGTACAATACACGTAAATTTCAATTAGAATTTTAGCACGCATAAAAACGCTAGGATAAAGCTAATCAAAAATATTTGATTAGATAACTCAGATTAGTGCTTGTCGAAAGCATTCGAAACAGAAACATTTTGAATTATTGTTCGTTCACAAACATAAAGCAGACGGTATTTATCGGTCGATTTTAATAAACCGTTTTTGAATTAATTCTTGGTCACTAAATATACGTTATATACATTCATATATATATATACATACATTTATACACACAGACACACACACATACATATATATATATATATATATATATATATATATATATATATATATATATATATATATGCTTGTATGCATATAGACACGTGGATGTATCGGTTAATAAGATATTAGTCTGACACGTATCTGAAATTTTCACTGTATTATGTTCGATCTATGTGACACGACAAAATTAAAGGCATTGAAAAAAATGCGATTTTGTAGAAATACAAAATATTTATTATGCAATGTAATTTTGATAATTGCTATTATGTACACTGATGTACATAAAATATGTATATGTTTGCGCATATATATATATATATATATATATATATATATATATATATATATATATATATATATCATAAAAAAGGCTTAAACACTAATATTATATCCTTACTCTGTCCTAGACATTGAGTTCTACCTGGATTCTATCCTCTTGGAATTTTTTATTCAAAAAATATACATGTATGTGTATGCACCTATGTATATATATTTATATATTTTGAATATGTATGTGTATGTTTTACCACTAATATTAGCTATATATATATATATATATATATATATATATATATATATATATATATATATATATATATAATATTTTAGTGTCTTCTTTGTATCCTTTTAAATATATAAAATTTTATAGTCTTTTATCTATCTATCTATCTATCTATCTATCTATCTATCTATCTATCTATCTATCTATCTATCTATGTCTCCGTTTCTCCCTCTGTGTGTCGCTGTCTCTCTCTCTCTATATATATAGTTTTGCTATGCTTTAGGTGGAAAGAAAAATGCATTTATCGTCGATTAGAAATGTGTTTCTACAGAAGCATGCTGAGAATACTATAGCAACAATGAAATTTTAGAGAAAATGGAAAGAAAAAGGTCACTTATATGTCATGCCAGAAAGAGACAAATGAAATTTCTTATTGATGAAGAGTTTAACTCTCACAGAACACATTGAAGGTAAGAGGAACAGAAGAAAGTAACCTCCCTATTTGTATAAATGGTTGGTAGAACAGGGATTTGAAGGAAAAAGAAAAAAAATTACTAAAGGCTGCAAAGGAGAAGCTGTGTAGAGCCAAGATCGCCCACATTCTGAAGAGGCATGGCATAGAGAAGAAGAATAATGAATGAATACATCATCAGGTTTTTATTTTCACTATATGCTAAATGTTGAAATGTTAACATTATAAACGGTATCGATGAATTATGTTCGAACTTCAGCCGCGGTTTCTTGCATTCACTTCGCACTGATGTAATTAGGAAAGGCTTGAATTCGATTTTCCCTACGATTTGATCCAGTGTCATATATCTTGAACAAGAATATATCGTGATGCTTGACTGTGAAGCGGGTGGGGTGGTGTGCAAGCACTTGATTAAAACTTGACGTGTTGAAGTTCTGACATAGATTGTGATGGCGGTTGGTATGGCTTTAAAAAGAAGTTTCTATTTATTCACTAATTTATAGAGTAGGGTTTAATATTTTCATATGTGCTGTGTCCCTTACGCAGATTGATGATCATCGCTCTCCACATCTTCCTATCATTTATAGCTCTTAACCATGTTTGTCGTTTTACGATTCCCTAATCCCTCTTCTGCCATCCATTTACACAAGCTCGTTAGATAGGTTACTCGCTGATTCTCTCTATCTCTCTTGTTCAGTATGTTCTTTTGAGTGCCAAAATTTCCAGGCCTCCTTTCCTCATTATATAAACTAAAAATTTCAGCAGTGTCTTTCTGGTTCTGAGTATAAGAGTCCTTTTTGTTTCCATTTAATTTCAAACATTCACCTCGCTCATATGATCTGTCCATTGTATTCTCACCATCTTTCTGTAGATC